CGCCGCCGCCACGGCGCCCGCCCACAGCGCGCCCCACCACACGCGCGACACGCGCCACGACAGCTCCACCGCTACACACGCGCTCTGCGACACAACCACGCACGATACAATCACCACAGACACGAAATTATTTCACATCGGGTTTTGTTCTTACGGAAACTCCAAGTGAATTCAATACTTTGTGAACTCACATACAAAACAGACATCAACAACAATTCCTAATCATGCATTGGTTTATTAGCTACTATAATATGTCCTCTATCATGGAGGTTATTTCCAATAAATAATCAAAACTCACCGGTTTCCCATAGTAAGAGAACTGCGTGTAGTTGAACATGAGTGTATTCCTCCTCTCCTCCCAGGCGCGCCGCTCGCGTCTCTTCTCCACCATCGCCTCCAAACCCTCTCGACCACTCCCTGCCTCTTCATCCTGATACATAACATTCTTCAATAGTAACATAGTATGAGCTAATTCATGCATGGAACACCTCAAAGTGTGAGCCACAAATTATCATTTCAGATCTAGGTGGAATGAGTAAATTATTAAAAAAGCTTTGCCTAACATTTTGTAAGAATATTCGAATAGATAATGTCATATTCACTTATTGAAATTTTGAGAGATTGGGTTTCAACTGTTTAAACTGACACACACCAAGCGGTCACCGGTGACCGCAACCTATTGTTCTTTAATTGTGTCTATAATGACGGTACTCAACGAGTTAAGTAAACTGCCAAGTGTGTGTGGGGTTTGTTCAGTCTGTGCACAGTACACACAACTGGTAAACGGCCAGTTTGAAAGAAAGGATAAATCAGCATAGCAGAATGGACTCACCTCCTCCTCTTCATCATCTCTGAAGATGTCATCAAAGTTGGGAATGTTCTCCTCATCGTCCTTATAAACTAGTCTCACCTACAACAACCATAATATTACAATAAATTCTCAGTTCTTGGCCTGTTGAAATATTGTACGTTAAATTTGATCATACAAAGTTGTCTCTAAACATCGGAAATAGGTCTATTATGTAGTTAGTGGAGAGAAGTCACCAATGACCATTTGGGGACTGAGTGGTTAAATTTATGAGTGTCATACCACGGTGATATATGATTTCCAAAAGGATAGATGTCGGTCCACTTCTAAACTGTAGTTTTTCTCCAATTAAGTATCTCAGAATCCTCTTGACTATAACTCATTTAATAAAATGATCTACTTAGTCTTGAAGTGATTGAGTAAATCTAATTAGTCTACCAATACTATCTTTGATCCCTATGTTAGGCCTTTTCAAAACTTTTAGCAGTGCTACAAACTCCAGAGTTGTGCTTGATGTATTACAAAAGCTTGCTACTTATTGTAATGGGAGTTATAACAGGTAGAAAGTGGTGCTAATGTTTCAACTATGCACCTGCCTAAACCTTAAAGATTAAAGCACTATCAAAGACTTTAATATAGGAATATAAAAGTACGAAAGCTCACCTGTCCATCACTATACACATTGCACACATCAGTAGGTTTATGGGCATCTAGCACAAAGAATACAACCTCTTCTTCAGGCTGCAGGATATCTACCAAGTCTATAGTTCCCCCACAGTTCACCAACACCACATACTTTATCTCCTCATTGTTTTCTTCGTAAGCTTGCTTCAACTCCGCAATACCCCCCACAGGGACCAATGTATACGAAATATTATCACTTTTAAACAAACCCTGCAGTATTTTACAGGTACATATCGCGTCTACGTCGTAATGAACTAATAATAACACCCTCTGAAACAAAAATAAACAAAGTTTTCTCGCTGGTTCAAAAACAAATTTTGGTTGTAAACTCGTAAACAATGCAGACGATACTCACGTTACCAAGGAGGACGTTGTAAAAGTCGTTTTTAATGTCTTCTATAAACATCTTGACACGTCATAGACGTAAACAGATGATTTGATATCAAGAAATCATCTTTTTCGATGGTAAAACACGTTGTAACTAACACAAAACCACAAAAGTTCACGAACCAAAAGAGATCAAAAGAAACACCTGTTACTTTGTACTGTCAAAAGTGTCAAATAGAATTTTCGCGCCAAAGGAAAGGATGCGTTCAAAAATAATGTCGTTATACCCTGTTGATAATAAAATTATTTTGTGAACAACATGTTTTCAAATCCGGGAATTTTAGTATTATTCAATTATAATCTTATTACAATATTAATGAATTTAAACATATCTAAATGGAGGCCATCACTAAATTTAGTAAATCTAGAAATTGTAAGAGTAAGCGATAAAGCAATACGAGATCTTGAATTTGATTCCTGAGAGATATACGGTATTTAATTTTAATGATACGAAACGGAAAAAAGAGAACATCGAAAGAGAAGAAAAGCTAGTAGCCTAATAGATGTGGAAATAACGAAGACCCTGTCTTTGATATTTATAGGATCGACTAAAGGGACTTCGAGGGATTCGTTCTAATGAAATAAGTTCCTTGTGTACATACCGACAATAATTAAGTTTATCCGAGACAGACTAATGTATTGAAATGACTTTTCCAGTATAGGCAGAGTATAAACAAGTAAAGGGGAAAGATAAATTTTACTACGGGAACATACCTTAAAAATAAAACAATAACATCTAATTTACAAATATGGTAGTCCTTTATTCTTTAGATACAGAACGATTTTTGTAACATGTAGCGTGATGGAGTGCTATTTTATGCGCTATAGTGCCTTCCCTTACCAAGTTGTTTGAAAGCGCTTGGAAATAGGATTGTATCAGGGACTCGTCTGTTTCTTCAGGCTGTAAATACTCGTTAATATCGTAACAAAGATATTCTTCAGGGCAATCTAGAGCTCGTAAGCACCCAGCATATTCCGACCATAGGAGCTTGCGCCACTTTACGTCATGCCTCTGTGCTAATGGCACTAAAACGCAAGCAGCAAATGTTGGATCTCCATAACTGACTGATTGGAACTGCTCCAGAAACTGTGTGAAGAAATCCTGGAAATTATGCAATCCAACCAGTTGTTTGTCGAAATTCAATTTTGATTTCTTTTTGAACAAAATCTCTGTACATTTCTTGAGCAATATTTTTATTTTGGGATCCAAAAACAGCGAGTTGTCGCTAAGGAACACGCACATGATGCGACAGAGTCTGTCAGTAACGTCGATGTCGTTCAATAGATCGGGGAAGCACAGTTCATTGAATAATATCCACTCCAAACTACATCGCGTAATAAATTCCTTCTCAGCAGCTATTCTCGCTGCGACTTTCCTGGAGTGTTCACCAAAAACTTTCGGACTGTTATCAGCTTCTTGACTTCTGCTGTACAGGGTTAAAATTGGCAAATAAATCCAATCCCTCGGTAAAATTGGCTCTTGCCAACTCTTGAACTTTATATTAGGCCCTGTATCTCTGTAATTAATGTTCACCACTCTACTGTAACACAGTTTTATATCCTCGATTGACGTCAGAGCTTTAGAAAAGCCATCTGCATCAGTCAAGTTTACAAGATGCAACAATCTTTCAGCAGTGAACCAGTGTTTGTTGAATACTACATATCCAAACAGAAAATCTAATTCATATTTCTTGTCATTTCTCAGAATATAACATAGCTTATTAGCCACAGTATACAGCAAGTCTTTACTTCCTTCTGAAATATCATACTGTGTAGATAATTTTATGATACTGAAAACGAAATTGGATTCCATTCTGGTGAACCAGTTATCACATAAACTTGGCACTTTATTGCTGATCTTGCTTAAATACATGGTCAGATGTCTTAGGAACATCTCAGATATTTCTTTATCATTTACGTAAGTCAGAAGATTGAAAAGGGATGCCAGAAATGGCATGGGTGATGCTATATTCAAAATTGGTAGAACTTTCTGAGCTGAGTCTATGACTGACCCTCCAAGTGACATCAAGTTCTTGGTTAAATGTAGGTCCTTATTATCTAATTCTGACAATAGATTTGAACTGGGTATAAGATTTCTGATTATAACTGCGAATCCTTGGGATTGGGACAGAGTTCTTAGAGAATCATTGAGGAACTTCATTGGAAGATTCTCTATCAATGTGACTGTTTTGCAGCAGTCTATAGCTGAACAAAGAAGGCGCAGATGTCCACAAGTGTAACTACTAGATTGAGACAACTGGCCCATCCATTTTTGAACACCTTCTTTCAGCAGAGGATATATTTGGGACTTGTAACTGTCCATTCCACCTAATATGCATCTTAGAAGTCTATTAACTAATTGAAGAACTACAGCTGCATGGGTTGCAGACAAAATAGAAGACTCCACAAATATATCAGTTCCTTTTACATGTTTATGCAATGCAGTAACAATCACAGGAAATAGAGAGACTGCCACATCAGTTCCCAGTCCAAAACACAGTATGTTAGAAAGAGTACAAAACGCTTCTATCTGTATTTTCAATCCATACATCCTATCAACCGCAGAACTAATGTACTCTGATATAGGTTTCAATAAATCATATTTGATTAGCAGGATTCTGGTTATATCCAGGGATTGTAAAGACATTATTCTGATAAACTTCAGAGCAGCCAATATTGGCTTCCCATTGTAAACAATGTTGGGATCAAAGACAAAATTAGTGCTGGATACTGGTACAAAGTTCTTAATTATTGTTTTCATCAAATATTCCATTTCTACAATCTTCTGTGCAGTTTCTAGAGAGTCTCTTGCTAACCTAGACAATATTTGCAAAGAATATTGAACACAGTTGAAGTTTGGCTTGATTGTCTCCAGGATATAGTACAACCTCTGGAGGATCTCTGTTCTCTGTAGTGCTGTCATTATGTCTATTTCTGCTAAATGGTAGTCTGTGAACTCGGATTCTTTTGACTGCAATTCTTCAATTTCTGACTTGTCATTTTCCAAACAAGGTTGTAGTGTGCCTTCTTCAAAGCCTATCAAAGCATCTAAACTGGCTTCATCTATCCTATTGTACAAGAGATTCCTCATAGCTCTCAGTGCTGGTTCTAGAATAATTACTTTATTGTCATCCATTGCTATTCTGATAATAAAGAACAGTTTGCTAACAGGTATTTCAATGACATTCTTGTATGTCCCTGCACTGTAATATTCTATGATGCCAGCTATTGTGTTAAGTGCCATAACTCTTTGTTGAGTGACTGTTGACCGTGTCAGCTCAATTAATTCCGTAATAGAATACCCTGGTCTATGTGGCTCATCACCATGATGAAACAATGGTTTAGTTTTGTCATTATACTCAATTGTGTACGGTAAAAGGTATCCGTTAAAGTCAAACCTTGCTTCGTATGGCTCATCTGCTCTCACTTTCTTGCTTTCTTCTATCCCTTTCATCCATTCTAGTTTGTCTTTTTCTAATGAATCAAAGTGGAGCCATTTATTTATTTCTGGGTGTGTTAGAACATCATTCTCCCAAAGGTTATTGTTTTCTGGTATGGCAACAGTAGTGTCCATGGCTTCCTCAGTAGATTCTTTGCTTTCAATTTTAGCAACAAGTTTTTCTATTGATTTGGAACTTTCAGGTTGTATAGTCTGTTGTCTTTTGTTTTTCAGAAACTCTACCAGCTTAGGATCAATGCTTGAGAGAAGCTTCTTCCTTTCTTCTAAGATATCTTGCTCTGACATCTCACTAAGAAGTTTAACATTTTCATTGTGAATATCATCTGCATCTTTCGATGATAAAATAAAACTCTTTTCTGGTAAATTCAAGTTTGATGGCTTTTTACTTGTATCAGCACTGGTACTGGGTGATGGTTCATCAATGTCCATATTTACATTTTCATTTTTATTAACACTTTGTTCTTTCTTTTTCTTATAGAATAAACTGGTTTGCTTAGTAACTACTGGAAACCCTTGTGATGGCATCTCTGTTGCATCAAAATCAACAAAATCAGCTACATTTTTTTCAACAATGTTGCCCAAGAGCGAAGGTATAACTTTAGGATAATATACTTGATCATCTTCAGCTTCAGGTTCAATATTCTCTGGCTCTTCCACGTTCTTTTCTAAGATATCTCCTACTACAGAAGTCGATCCTTCAAATCGTGCCTTTTTCTCAGTCTGGCCCTTTAAACCTTTAGCCTGGGCAAACTTGGAAGGTTTCCTACCTGTCTCGCTAGTATTTGATCGCTTTGTACGTTCATTTGGACGTAAATTAGTAACAGCAGCCGCTGGTTGCAAGTTTTGATTTTGTTTTTCTCGAAGAAATTCCTCTTGCATACGAAGAATATCTTCCTCATCTTCACCAGGTTTAGGGCGTTTCAACATGATTTGTTTTATTAAAACTAATTATTCACACAGTCTAGTAGGTTTATTGTTACAAAAACACTATTTTAAACTATTTTATAGGATAAAAAGTAACAAACAAAACTATAAGGTTATTTTTTGTTTTGACAACTCAACTTTTGACAATCATTCAGTGGTGTTTCTGAAGTTCGTTTTCGATGAAAAAATGAACTATTTGTAAAACAAAGTACATTTTATGTACAGGTTTTAGCATTTTTGGCGAAGTGTAAAAAAGTGGCAATAGGCTCACCCCCTATTACATGGGACTCATAACATAAATAGTGAAAAGTGGGTGTTACATTGTACAGTGCCATTAATGTACACCTCTGCCTACCCCTTCGGGGATAAAAGGCGTGATGTTATGTATGTATATATGTAAAAAACTATAATTTGTTAATTCTCTTTTTTTTTCTTTTTGGCAACGGATGAACGGAGTCTCCAATTAAATTAAATTAATCTCCTATTCCATAAAAAAAAAAAAAAAAAAATACAGTGTTGTCGACTATACTGCCAGTGTCGAGTGATGACGGCAGATTATTGGACCGTCGATTGTCGAACTGAACTTTGTGGTTGTGGTAGTTTGTTGATTCTCGTCTTCATAAATGTTTCAATTCAATTGTCACTGTCAAGTGTCAACTTTGACATTATCAACGACAAAAACAAAACGAAACACGTGAGGATTTGTGAATATAACCAAAATAAACCTCAAAATGCCTAAAATTAAGAAGGATATCGATAAACTGAAGCATCCAAACAGTAGAAAAACGTTAAAGATCATCAGCAAAATCAAGAAACACGAGAAAAAGGATCAGAACAAAGTAGGAACACACATAAAACAAAACTTAATCGGTGAAAAGATTCTTTGGTTTAAAGAGAGGTTACCAGAAGACTGTGTGGTTTTATCGAAAGAACAGACTTTGGAACTGATAGAGGAGTATTTGGCGCGGTTTGACGAGGAGTTGGAGCAGATTGCATTAAAGAATTCTGTAGGACAGAGGAGAAATCGTCAGCATGCTAGTAGGGAGGATATTATAAATATTACAAAGAAACAGGAACATGAAGAGTTTGAAACTTGTGGTATAGAGATGCCTGACCTCCTAGACCGGCAGCAAATGGAAGTATTGAGGAATTGGAATGGGGAATTACGGTTTTTACAGCATTTTAAGCTCAGAAGAATAGCAAGGAAACATTTAATATAGTATTAAGATTAGCTACTGTGTTTTATTATTTAACTCGTTGAGTACTGTCATTATAAACACAATTAAAGGACAATAGGTTGCGGTCACCGGTGACCGCTCAGTGTTTGATAGTTTAAACCCTTTAGAGACTGTTTGGTATCAATTCACCTGCATATTGTAATATAATGTTTACTGTGTATTCTCTGTCTTACATATGCTAACACTCAATTTCATAACATTTTGCAAGATACTGTAACCTTATTATAGATTATCAAAGAGTAGAAATGTTTTAAATTTGACTTCTATTTCTAGAGTTATTACACAATCATTAATATTCTTGTGAATTAAAAACATGCAGGGTGTCCCTATAGTCGACAATCAAATGGCACCAGGTGATTGGCTATTCTTTTCTAACTAAAGCAGTTGGTTCAGAATTTATGATTCCATAATACTGAAGCACTATTCAGGATAATGTAAGCAAAAATACATCCGAAAAAATAAAGAATTGTAGCAACAACAATCGAAGGACTGGCACAGGGTGTACTTTTTCATGGATAAAACATAAGTCATTATAATTTAAAAACTATAAGACTTGGTATTTTTTTAATAGTTTTCTCATAACTCTTAGAACCTTGCCTATCACTGGGTACTATTTGATCGTCGACTTCAGTGTCATCCTGTTTATCACCAACACCATTGCTTCGCTTACCACTAGGCGAAACTGAGTGACCAAACATTAAGAAAAAATACTGTGTTTTTAAACTACCACACATTCTATCCCAAAAAGGGCAAGCCGTTGTGCACATAATTACACCTATGTGTAACACACTTTTCATCAAAATTAACATACCTAGTTCAATTCAAATAGTAATGAATGAATGAATGAATGAATTACAAAAACGCAAAAATATAACAAAAGTACTTTATCGCTTTTGCCTTTATTTAAAGGAGCAATACTTGCCAAATCGGTTCAGAGTTTCAGCGAAAATAACAAACGGAAATTCATTTATATTTATACTAGCTTTTACCCGCAGCTTCGCTCGCGTCACAAAAGGATAAAAAGTAGCCTATTATGACATATATACCAATACACACAGCGCTATCTATACCAATAATTTCGTTTTCCCTCGAGGGTATCAAATTTTTCCGGTATAAAAAGTACCCTATTATTTAATCCAGACTTCTTACTTTACATCTGCAAACATTCAAAGCAATCGGTTTAGTAGTTACGGCGTGAAAGCGGAACAAACAAACAAACTCACTTTCCGATTTATAATATTAGTAAGGATAGATAGATAGATTAATTAATTTAGTAGTCTCACGAAAGTTATAATACCCACTTTGTTTCACCATAATGGGAGGTTACCAGAAACAGGAAAAAACAAAAAAGCCCGCACGCAACCCACTTGTACCTAATTCTAGTGTTGCGAGTATCCGTGGTGAGCTATGATGACTAACGAAAAATCCCCAATAATTGGCTACTTTCCTTAATCAAAAAAAAATTATTTCGACTGTTCAATATCTACAATATTAAAAAATAAACACACTTTCAATAATTGATTTTATAACCAACTTAATTTTAGTAAGTATTGTTCTAGCAAATTTTTAAGAAATAAGTTTTATAACCAACTTAATTTTAGTAGGTATTGTTCTAGCAAATTGTTAAGAAATAAGTATGCCGTTTGACCGTTGACGCTTAAAAAACGTGACGTCACAATACACATTCTCGTACAAAATTCAAAATTCAACTGTCAATTTGACAGTTCGAAAAAAGTATTGAATTTAACTACTTGGTAAGTACCCAATCGACGAATCTGGAATCTCGAACTTGAGAGCTCTTGTTCAAGTCGCGCATGCAACCACACGATCACAGAAACTCTGAATTTGATTGATGACGACATTCATAGAACTACTAGACCGATATTGACAATTTGATAGCACACAAGGAATACCGCCATAAACTATAATAATAATAATAATATCGTTTATTTCTCAGTATATGGTACACACAGATCTTAACAATACAGCAGTTTCACATACACAACCGTCTCCTATTCAAATCAAATAAAACACAAGTTTGAAGAAAGATGACTAATTTATTAGAAACTATTTACAACTTCACATTACAGGGAACAGGATTGTAAATGGGAAACATTACATGGTGAACACAACCTAAGATACAGTACAATAATAATTATACAACATCAGCGCGAATACAGACCTGGTACAGTGAGGATGCGTTAGGAAGCCCTACAGAGAAACATCGCTAAATATAAACACGATGACGCCATTTAGTCACCGTCATCGACAATACACAAAACAGTTGATTCATTGATGACGACCTCTTTTGTCATTATAACTGTTCATAAACAAATAAATTTATGTAAAACATAGACAACATTGAATGTTTTAGCGTCATCTATTGTTATGTAACTCAGTGCATAGGTTTGTTTGGTGCTATAGAAACTGAACCACTACCGTTTCTTCTTTTCCATTTCTTGATAAATATTTACTGATCATGGTAACGCAACATACAGTAAATACATAACATAATGCCTTTTATCCCGAAGGGGTAGGCAGAAGTGCACATTATGCCACTGTACAATACCCACTTTTCATTAAGTATTTACGTTATGAGTCCCATGTAATAGGGGTGAACTTATTGCCATATATCGGGCACAATTCCAGAGTCCGTACTCCTACTGAGAATATTTTTTAAACCCAGTAATACTTTGCCCGACCCAGGAATCGAATCCGAGACCCCTTGCCCGACAGTTGCACCTGCGACCACTCGGCCAACGACGCAGTCGTATAAAAGGCAATTTAGTTACCTTTAAATGAGAGCATTTTGTTGTAAAAAGGAAGGGTTCGATAAAAAAAAAACGCTAGTGGCTAAATGGTAAAAAAGGAACGTTTAAGTAGGTAGCAATCATGTAGATAGGTCATGGTAACTGTAGCATTTCATCATTGACTTTGGTAAAAACTGAGAGGTATTTCACTATAGGAAGAAGGTACTCCTTTTATGCACTTTTGTCTCTAAAAAAAGATGTTTTTTTTTTTCAATTCTAAATGTTATTGCATCAATCCCATTAGCAAGCCAATAGTTCCGCCGCATCCTCAAAAAAAAAAACATACTGATATGTAATACAAAATCAGTCACTATATCACATACGAACAACATCTTAAATTAACATTAAAAAAATGAGCATAATTCATATTATTTTATGTTAAAATTATACATTGCAAATTTCGAGTTTCGTTGTAAAAAAAATAAATAAAGAAACATTGCGAGATTATTAATTTGTATATCTTTGGAAAATGCAAGGAACACGAATTGGCGCGTGAAACGAAACTCGATATTTATGTTTAGAACTAATTAAATAAAAAATAACGTTCAAATTCGGGACTATTAATTCAAAAAGTACTCTATTAGCAGGCAGCTTAGGACGACTTTTGTCTACAGAGGTGAAGCAGAGTCGTGTAGTTCCACTCGACTTTGTTCCAACTCTGTGGATAGTCAAATAATAGACGCACGACTACACACAAGCAGTTTCTTAAAAAAATGTAAAAAGTATTTTAAAATCTAAATAGCCAAAGTCAACCATCGATACAAAGACCATAGGAGAAAGTCGATGTCCATATCGATGAGGAAACTCTATAAGTAGGACGCGTTTCTAGATATTAAAATAAAATCCATTTAAAATTATTTTCAAACAATATATACCGCAACACAGCAGCTGAGGGTGCATTCTCATAAAAAATATAAGTATGAAAATATTTTCTCACGCCGACGTTCTTATATCATTTTATTTCATATTTTTTCCTGTAAATTCTTAATTATATTATTTCGCAATACAATTTAAATATAAGTCGATACGGAACTGATTAGAAACAGTTAATATGGACCACACCTGGTAATGTCGCAATTAATTAAAAGATTTCGCAATTATAAAATCAATGGACTTGCCAATTAATCCACATTATGAATTCTATCGTCAACGCATAACGTGCTAAAGCATAAATAATGCAAACAGAAAGTTTACCGTGGTCGATTAGAATCATAGAGTATGATCGCGGCTTTATCACTTATAAAAAAAGTATGAGGAAAAAAATATGTAGGATTTCACTACACGTCGATAGGTCAAGGGCACACGCTATTGGCGCGTCTGTTCTAGAATCACCTCACGCACAAACGACTTTGAAATAAATCAAATTAGTTTTCTAGCAACACAGAGACTAGAGACCGCGATTCTAATTCTTATTTCGACAATAAACATAAATAACTTTCTCCTGTCAAGTGAACTCTTCAAAAGTATAAAAATATAAATCCTGTTTCTACGAAAGTAAAAGTTGTTCATACTTTTAAAAAAGAAATATTTTGAATCATCGTCCTTTTCATTGGCAACGCGGAGAAAATTGTATTTTGCGTCGAAATTAATTTTAAATGGATAATATTTAAATGCCTAATTAATAGTAAAATAATATTTCTATCTTTAAGTCCAAATTAGTATTTAAGTCTTCGTACAAAAAGTTCGTAAACATTAAAATTAGAACAATATTTTGGCGGAAAATTAAAAGCATACATATATCTGGTAAAATTATCTATGGATCATTCTGTTTTTATGGGATAATTTTACCGCCAAAATATTATGGACACTGACAAAATTCTCGGATTAAAACCTTACAAAGTTGCTATTGTAACCCAATTCTCTTCTCTACTACGTATCTATGCAACTAGGCACTTCAAGTCTATTATAATTATGTTTAAAATTATTATATCACTATATCATTTAGTTAAGTAGTTTGCAGAAAATACATTTCTTTCTTTTTCAACTGTTCAATACAATCTTTCAAATTGTAACATTTTTTAATATTCAACGTGGTTATTATTTACACATAAGTTGTAAAACCGTAAGATCTCTGTATCATTTGGAAATGTAATCCTACAGATACAAAGAAAGTACTGTTTTTATAATTAAGTATTTAATTTCAATATAATTTATTTAGGAGGACGATCTACGTAACGTACTAACACAATTTAAATTTAGTTTTTAATAAATAGTTCTTCAATTTCATTCAACATTGTTATCATAAAGTTTATAGGAGAAGCATCTTTCGAAATAGATATTTTTTTCTTATTTTTTCGTCAACAAGAGAAGCTATAAAAGTTATAAAACTTACCCTTATTACTGTTTTTTTGTTCATTTATCTACAATACCTACATCGGATCGATTTAACTTCTTTAGAGAGCAAAACAAAACAAACCGCAAAACAAACATCTCCAGACATGATATTCCGACTCCTCGTATAATTTACACTCATTTTACAAGCTTACACAAACTTAAAAGGTAAAATAAATCAGGTAAACAACGGGAGGTGGTAGAAGTCGTAGCCTCTCTGTCCCCGGGCGGCGAGCCAGATGTACACGACGTGGTAGGCGCCGGGCACGAAGCAGATCATGCCGGCTACAAAGAATACTGCACCTTGGAGGCCGTTCTCCGGCTCGGCGACTGCGAAGGCTCCCATGCCGAGCAGCCCCACTCCGACTAGCAGCAGCACAACGGCTGCACACACCGTCTTCCAGTTCTCCCGGACCTTCGGATGGTTCCAGCAGTACATGGACTGCGTTGCCTCCACATATTCGTGAATCAGGGAGTCCGAATCTCTCGACGTCGTGTCCTCTGTGCATTTGTAGGTTTTGGTGCTGCAAGAGGAAGATACGCATCTATTATCGACATGAAATGCTGTGTGCCAACTGATGACCTTGGCTAGTTGGTCTGATAAGCGTAGATGTTGTAAATAATATTGATAGTGGCAGTACATTAAGATAACATTACGAGTTTAAGACAGCGATTTGCAATTTTTATCTCATTCAAGTGCACGGTTTGATTTTATGTTGTATTAGATAGACTGATAGAAGATCAATTTGAACACTGACAATGAATACAGAAACGTGATGAAATAATTGCAACAGCTTTCTGTTTTATTCACAATATTATGTAGGTACATTTAGTAACCCAAAACATCTCGTAAATAAAACGAGTAAATTGTATAAGAGGTGCTCTTGCGCCGTTCTCTTAGCCAGTTCGATTAACAAACTAGGAATAGGAAGTACGTCCTCCCACATGAAATTCCTTGCAGGGTCAATTGTGCACGATTTATATAAACTAGCTAACTGCCTTAGGAATGTATGAAGGTACATTTATGAGACGGTGAGCCGACACCACTGAGATTACTGATTAATAATATTGAATAAAACCTTGGTAAAATATCGTTTGAGGTATCGATTACTTTCATTTTCTGCATGATTTAGTAACATCAAAAATTCGGCTACTCCATACTATACCGTCATAGGTTTATTTATAATATTATAATTTTGATTAAAATAGAACCTTGAATTGGATTTTTTGCGTTTTTATGAATATTTTTCAAAGCCACAAAATATTATTTTAGAATTTCGTTACACCTTGCCATGTTTGGAGGATACGGCGCGGCATACGCTCGAAGAGTGTACTGCATGGGCAGAGCCGCGTCGTGAACTCTTTGCAGTACTCGGCGGGAGTAACCTGTCACTGTCGACTGTTGTACGAGCTATGGGACGGAGTCGCTTCCTTTTGTGAACAAGTGATGTTGGAAAAGGAAGCGGCTGAAAGGGAGAGAGAGGCGTCAAGTCCTCTCCCCTCTCGCCGTAGACGCGCCGGTCGTCAGCGCCGTGAAGCGGCAGCCGATCTGCGACCTCCATGAGAGGAGAGGCCTGCGGACAACTGACCGGGGGAGTCAGACGTCCGCTATATAGGCGGGAGTAGGCGTTAGCGTAGTGTTCCACGCGCGCTACTCGAAGAAGGAAAGCAGCCTCCTAGGGCCGCTAAGGTGGCGGGACCTGCCGCAAACATAGCGGTAGGTCGAGGCCTGCCGGGTGTGGTGATTCCGTAAGGGCAACCCGGGTCACGGTCACAGGCAGTGAAGGAACACCGCGGTGGTTTTAGCCGGTATGAGTCCGGCACGCCCCCTCGTCGTCCCCACGGCGCGGGAAGTCCATGAGGATTTCCATCGCGATAGAAAAAAAAAAAAAACACCTTGCCATAGATATAATAAAGTTTAATATTACTTTGTACCCTCTATTGGTAAATGAATGAGTATTCGGTCTTTGATCAGTTCTTACACAATACTTCTTCGCCTGCGCCTTTTTTGTATGTAATTTAGAAGGTTTCTCCCGAGAAGATATAGATGTATGATGACGTGTATGTATATCGGAATAAAAATAGTAGGTCGCTTTTTGAGATTCTAAAACGTAGAAGGTACCCATAACCCACCTAATATACGTTCTAATGGAAACATAAAAAAACAACAAAGAATTTTCTGTTTTTTGCGAGTTCGATTTGCACTTGGCCGCGCCGGTATTACTTACCTATTTTTAAATTTCTAAACACAAGACAAAGTTGCAAACTCCGTACCATTAATGAGAACTTACCTAACCCTATATGACCTATAGATAAAAAACTGTTTTCAGCGAAATTTCATATCCTCTGTAGTCGTGACCACTCAACCAAGGAGGACATGGCAAATGTAACATAGTAACAAATTCCATTTAAATTAGAAGGCAAACCGTTTAAGTACTTAACATTGTTAAGGATCAGTTATTATTAGCGCCATAATAGGTAATACCGATAACGGCGATATCTTCAGTAGGTACGTTCGAGAACTGTTTAGAAAATACCTATCGGATATAAATAATAAATGTTTATCTGTTATTGTTTTGATAAAATAAAATACAATACAAAACAATGCACAAATCTATTATCCTTGATCCAATTCATTTTCAGTTGTTATCAACTAATTGTTTTCATGTTTTTATAATGAACATTATATAAAACTAGTTAGTTGTAGGCTTTAACCAATATAATTAATTACTTTTATTTTCGATTGGTTCAGTAATTGTCACACAACTGCCTGAAAACAGTGATTTAGATAAAATGACTGCCTAAAACTTTTCTGGGTTCATGAATGTGCTATTCTGTACCTATTTTTCACCTTAATGCGGCAATAGTTCGGGATGAAATTATAATTAAAAATGTTAAGCACCACTGTATCACTCTCAGTGACTTTGTTTTTTACCTAGGACTTAAGAATACATTCTCGGTTGCCAAAGAACAAAAAAAAAAAAAAACGTACTGACGTCGTTAAGTTCTCTTTTTTATCACATTGACGTGTTGAGAGATATTCAGAGAAACATACCATTTTAATATGTATTTACTTTGACTAAGAACTCTCAATATGCGTAAGCGCTTATTTGCTCGACTAACCGCGAAAGTTACTAACTCCTAAGAAAACATAAATGTCTGATAAACATTCGTTAATTCAACAGCATTCTTTATTCTGTACCCGAACTTGTACTCGCTAATTGGTTCAAAACTGGACACAAGCATGTCCTCTTTTATTATTATGAAATGAATAATAAAGTTTATAAGGATAAATAAAGGAAAATAAACATCAAACACAATACAACCAAACCTGATTCAAAGGTGCAAAACCTTACTTAAGTCAACCACATTATCAAATGCATTAAAAAGGATTTACACAAAGATAATGAACAACAAGTAAAGTAGCACTTAGATAAAAGAAACGGAACCTGTTATTTTTTTCCAGACTGACATTTACAAAGATAGTATCGAAACTCTTTTCTTGAATGCACTCCATTTTCACAACCACAGATAATAAAAAAATAGATTTGTAACTGAATAAACAAGTCACTTCTCAAAGAGGATATCCTCAACTGAATGATATAAGTTAAAATGATAAAAAAGAAGACCATGCCGTGTTATTAGTCATCACTTTAATTGATGAGTACTCCGTACATTCATTAGAACAAGAGGTTACAGAATATGAGAGCAAAAAATTGGCTCAACAATAATGTAGAGTGAATCATTTGGTGTCATAAGAATTCTTGAGTTTGGTCACATGGTGCAAAAAACTTATAAAAGACTATAATCTGAAGTTTATATACTTCTTTAAAAAAGGTATATCAGAACGCCTTTTGGTCCTGTTATACCAGTTTTAGGAAAATAAGGCTCAGATGTGGAGACAGTGACACCTGCTCATTTTCAACATTATCTCTTAAAATCTGTAAGTGATATGAATGATTACAGGTGTTATTTGGGGTATTGGAGGAAGTAAAAAAACTTCTTAATCCACGATTATGAAAAATCTACAACATTTGTTCATATAAAAGTAGTCTCTAAAGGTTGGAAATAGGTCTATAATGGAGGAGGAGAGATGGAGAAGAGCAAATAGCTTCACTTTTAATTTTTTTTTGTTGACATTCAAAAGTGCCATTCTGGTCTAATTGAATAAATGATTTGGTCACCGGTGACCGCTTGGGGACTGAACAGTTAAGGTTTTTAGTGGATAGAGCTCTGTGATTTTTAGTTCTTAGTAGATGGAGTTTTATGGTTTTTACTTTTTTAGCAACCACTATTATAAGTATTAAAAAAAATTATGTAGTGTTGTTTGTTAAATTTTAGAACCATTGGAAGCAATAAATAAAATAAATTATTATTTAGAACTCCCAGTTTTTTGTTCTTTTAAAATTATTGTAACATAGAATACTTAGTATCTAAATATATTTTCATGTTGTGGTATTAATTAGAGGATAAATCTGCAAAATTAATACTGACATAGGTAACTAAAAGTATGTTGGTATGGTTATCAATTTACTAACATACATAATTATGTATAAAGTTTATTTATATGAATTCAAAACAAGTTTCCTCGTAATTTAATAAGGAAACAAATCACTTCATAATAATTCATTTACCTTAATATGTTGTAAAATTTTGAATGAAATTGGATACAGTATATTAATTAACTAAATAGATTTTATTGTTAGATCCATGGTTAATTTTTTCCATAGGAAAGGTTGTTATTTAACTCGCCGAGTACCGTCATTATAGACACAATTATAGAACAATAGGTTGCGGTCACCGGTGACCGCTTGGTGTTTGACAGTTTAATGTCTCATCTCAACAGTCATTTTAGACATAAGTTCCAGTAAATAATGTTGTGGTTTCAATTAACCATTAGTGTTTAATAGACAATTAAAAACAGAAATAAATCACTGGCTGAGCTATGAATAACAATAAATAAAATGATGAATAGTATTCAAAAGAATTAACAGTGTTAGCTTTAGTTTAGGTTTTAGTCCATTCTTGCATTGTCAACTTTCTGTATATGTGGTAGATTCTACCACAAAATACAGGAACATTCTTAATCTTTAAATGTCTTTCATTTTGATAATGAATACAAAGTGAAGCTCCATTATTTTAACACTGTTGCAAGTGCACCATAAAAAGTATAAGATATTGGCTTGTGACATTTCTCAGATGCAAAAAAACATATTCAAGGTGGGCTGGTTGAGGCTGAATATGTTGATGCCTTTGCCAATTAAGCAAGAAGTATGCATGCTGATCTTGTAAACTATGGTTCGTTATACTATTTACTGGTAATTGCATATGTATAGATAGATTATCTGTTAAGTTATTCTATATGCATTGTTGGTACCCTATACAGTGTTCTATGAATATAATGAGTTTTTATTTATAAGAATACTAAGAATAAAATAAGACAGTTTCCTATCAGCTTTAACAAAAAAAAGACAAATGTGTAAAATACTTCCTAGTAAATTATATGTAACATTTTATCTATGTATATCAGGTCAACAAAATGAACACTAACATCATAAAATGGGTTAGTGAACAAGATTAATTAGCGCTTGTTTGCAAGTAATTAGCGGCGCCGCATTCAGAACTATGTCTATAAACCAAGTAACGGCTGCCAGGTTCAACTGCCTTTAACCCACTAAGGAAACATGACTCACGAAAAGGTCACGAACATACTGACATTTTAGCACAAAGAAAAGTATTTCATAATGAAGCTTTATGATCAACAACAACCCTAAAAGTATTAATTATTAAGTAAATTTTACATACCTGGCCAAATATTCATTTCCATTCTTGTATTTGTTCTGTAAAGGCGATCTGTCTCCTGTAGCACCGTAAACTTTAATGGCTTCATCGGTTTCCTCTTCAAATGCATCGTCGATTGAAAAACGCTTGTCGTTATTACCGAACGGCCTCGTCATGGTTATATATTGTTGTTATCTGCCTGGAGATGTAAAATAAACATCACAGCTAACGTACGGGACAAAACACAGCTGTCAATTTGTCATATCAACATGCGCCATATTGATTCCAATACCACAATAAAAAATAAATGATTGAAAACCTGCATCCAGTTTTGAAATTAATTTATAAAAATTATAAAAGCGGCTTATAAATGCTGTGTATTTTTACTTATATTATGCGATCATCAAAAATGTACAAAATACACGACTATTAATTATGTAACGACATCTAAAACATTTTATTTCATTGCAAGAAGTATTGTTGTTTTTGAACGAACAAAATGTTGTAAGATCAAAGAAAACACACCTTTCACTTTTTCTTTTTTGAAAAGTAGGTTTTAAAATTATGAATCGGACCTGCAGATGATCGTAAAATCATTTATTTTATTATAATTTTACTGTATATTCAGGCTTTTATCACAAAAAGTAATTATTACAAATTCAATTGAATTTTTTTATTGCTTGTAACACTATATTAACGTCTGTCAATGTCAAAATAAACAAACTAATGTCAAAACTGTCAAAACCACATGGTGTAATCAATGTACAATATTTTGTCATTTTTGCGGCAATAAAATAAGAAATAATAATGGTTGTAAAAGATTGGGCTAAAATATCACCCGGGCTATCAAAGCCAGTTTTGTCATGTATCGAAAAACAGGGTTTCAAGACCATGACTCCTATTCAGGCTGCGGTGATACCTTTAATCATGTCCTGTAAAGATGTGGTCGCGGAGGCTGTGACAGGATCTGGTAAAACATTGGCATTTGTTGTGCCTATGCTGGAAATGTTAATAAAGAAACAAAAGGAATCTCCGCTCAGGAAAGATTTTGTTTATGCTGTTATCATATCTCCAACTAGAGAACTAGCTTCACAGATTTACAAGGTATTAATAAGTATCATTCGTTTAATGGAATTTTGTTTCTTTTTAATTAATCACCTCTAGAAACATGTAATATACTAAAGAAACTGAGCATTGTTTAACACAACATGATTGTTTACATTTTATCTGAGATTTGTTGTATTTTTTTATTTATATTTAGTGCTATGAATTATTATTCATACACCATCAACTTGAAGTTTATCTTATTGGGATTATTATTAAAGACATTTGCTAAATCTTAATTTCCTTTCAGGTGGTAGAACTATTTCTTCAAGAGCCTGAGCTATCCCACATAACAATGACTCTGCTCCTTGGAGGGCGGCCGGTAGAGGCCGATATAGAAGCCATTCAGAAAGGAGCTCAGATAGCCGTATGCACTCCTGGTAGGCTGGGAGACTTGCTTGCTGAGAGAAAGCAGCTAAATCTTGCTGGGAGGCTGAAAGAGATGGTTAGTTGGAAATCTTAAGTATGGTATAGTGGGGTGAATTGGGTTTGAGTGGCGAAAAGGGACAGAAGAGGGGTGAATCAATACTATGAAGAATTTCCTTACACCTATTCACCTCTTGATCCCTATTCACCCCATTTTATGGTAATTATTTTTGGGTCTCAATGGGTCATTTTTCAGTATTTTTCTTCTTGATACTACTTCTACTCCTGGCAGGGATTAAAGGATATTGTAGCTATCTTAACTCTTGAGGCCTGTTTAATTTGCTTATAATATCAAATAGCTTTGTTCTTCTCACTGTAATCTAGGACACTTGTATCAACTTCTTGTTGTTACCACATTCAGTAATTTAAAAAATCATGTAAGATTTCTGAATCTAAGAGAAAAAAGTTTCTATGTGTTAGAAGTGTCCAAAAAGTAAAAAAATAACTTATCCTCTGTTTTATTTACAGGACATCCTAGTCCTCGATGAAGCAGACCGGCTTCTCGACCTAGGTTTCAGCCAAACACTCACAACTATTCTCCAATACTTACCAAGGCAAAGACGAACAGGTTTATTTTCAGCCACACAGACTAAAGAACTTCAAGATCTAGTCAGAGCAGGACTTAGAAACCCAGTAGTTGTGAGTGTGAAGGAAAAATCCACCATCAGCACACCAATTCTTCTAGAAAATTACTATGTTATAGTTGAACCTGAAGACAAATTCCTCTTCCTCCTCAATTTCATAAGAAACAGGAAAATCGCTAAAGGATTATTCTTCTTACCGACTTGCGCGTGCGTCGATTACTGGGCCGATGTGTTGCCAGTGTTCTTGCCAGATATAAAAATCTTTGCGATCCATGGTAAAATGAAAATGAAGAGAAGTAAGATTTTGGAGAAGTTCCGACAGGCTGAAAACACTATTTTGTTGTGTACAGATCTTTTGGCGAGGTAGGTTGTTCCAATCTGTCAATAGTTTTCATTGAATTTTCGACTTTTAATTTAAAGCAATGAAGTTGAAATTTGAATAAAGGAATTCGGCCCATTGCATTGGCGTCTGTACTTTTTTTATCTACTTGAGTCAAATCGCTAGTAATGATAAGAATGTAAGTCAAATGAAACTAGTAAAATGACAATACCTGGTTGTGTTAGCAAAAAATGCAGGGACTAACTACATTGCCACTAATTTTCATCTGAAATTTATTTTATGTACCATTTACATAAGTCTCTTCTTTACAGAGGTCTGGACATCCCAGAAGTAGAGTGGGTTCTCCAATGGGAGCCTCCTACGAACCCTGCGTCCCTAGTACATAGGGTGGGTCGCACGGCGCGGGGCGGTGCCGCTGGGTGCTCCCTGTTACCTCTACTACCCACTGAGGATACATATGTACCCTTCATCAAAACCAATCAGATGGTGGAACTCAAGGATTGGAGAAAATCTAAAGATGAAATCAAAATTAATCCTAAGCTGAAAGAGAAGGTAAGAAAATGAAAATTACTTATTTTTATAAGACACCAAGCAGCAAAACTAACATTATTTTTATTATTGACTTAACTTTTACGAACAGTTTTTTCAAATGTTTTGTGGTTTGGTGAGTCTGACATAATGATATTTTCTATTAATCTTGACATTTCATATGGTTTGGTTTCTGACATAAAGTTGAATTTTATTTTATTTTATTATATTTCTTTTAATGTTGACATGGATTTGAATGTGTACTTGTAATATTGATATAATGGTCTTATAACAAATTAATTAATTGCTGTCATTGGTGTAACCATTGTAATTAATATAAATAAATAAATTATATGATCTTAATGCTTCAGTACAGTCTTCCCATTTTTTAATAGCTTACTATTTCGATGTGTAACCCAAATTACTGAATCCTCAATTGTCAAATCCTGTACCCGTTAAACGTTGGCTACGCACTTGTAAATTCCTCTGGTATTGCCGGGATCCATGGATCTGGCATACTATCAGGTGATCCGTCAGTTCGTTCGCCGGTCTATCGCATACAATGGTTTTGGATACCACTAAAAGCTCTATATATAATGTTCCAGGTCCTAGCAATGCTTCACGAACAGCAAAAGCAAGATAGAGCAGTGTTAGACAAAGGACAGCGCGCATTCGTATCACATATGCGAGCCTACACTAAACACGAATGTAACCTCCTACTGCAGTTCAAAGAACTTCCCTTAGGCCACATAGCCACCAGCTACGGCCTTCTAAAATTACCCATAATGCCAGAAATTAGACAAGAACATAAAGACCAATTTGTTGGACCTAAAGAAGATATAGATTTTAATAGTATACCTTATAAAGATAAACAGAAGGAAGCTAGTCGATTGCAGAAGTTGGGAGAGTTTAAGAAGACTGGTGTTTGGCCATCAAAGAAGAAAAAGAAAATGGTGAGGGTTTTTGAGTTTGTAAACTGTGAATTGTTAGATTTTTGAGTCCTTGTAAGCTTATTAGAAATGTTACAAAAAGACCTTTATAAAAAAGTTTATTGCGTTTACATTTAGTACGTACTTGTGCCAGGACGTAGATCTATGCGAGGCATGAAGTATTTTCTATTATGTGTTAATGCATAGAAAATACAGTGGTTAAGTTGATTGGAAATGTATTTTGTTTTTTGCATTTTAAAAACATTCACATCTTTACTTTTTTATTGACTTCTAATTGAAACGAAATTCTATTACGATACTTATAGGGTTATTTTTTTTCAGATACAATCAGAACCATGGGAACAAGCGAAGTTAAATAAAGAAGAGCGTAAACAGAAGAGGAAAAAGCGAAAAGAGCTGAAAAAGAATGATCCAGAAGGCGGGAAAAAGCGTAAACGTAAAGCGGTAACACAAGAGGAACTGAATGAACTCGCAGCGGATATAGCGCTTATGAAGAAGTTGAAAAAGCGGAAAATTACTGAAGAACAGTTTGACCAACAATTTGAAGTGTAAATACATATTTTAAGTTACAGTTATTATGACTTTTATTTTGCCATACATACTGGGAAGCTTAGTGATCAAAGACATTGTCAGCTTGTGATCAGTCTCATAGTACTTTAATACTTACCGCCGTACTCAGTGATTTAATGGTTACTTAATCCAGTCCTTATGGAGCCTCCTTTGCCATACGGCCATACACGCTAGATTTTGCATGCACAGTTATAACCATCATGCATAACGTAGCGTGTATGGCCTCCTGAAAAAAATCGTTACTAATAATAACTTAAATAGGAATAGTTTAAGTAATCATTAAATGTCTCTAAGTATCGTTAGTCACGATTTGAGTGAAGTGGTGTTTTCTAGTGAGTGTCGAGAATCAAAAATCAGGATTTCCAAATAATACGACCAATGAAAATAGTAAAATAAATATATATTTCTGTTCAACTTTCGTAGCAACATTTATGATCTGAGTATTACTTATCAAAACACAACAAGGCACTTAACACCTATATTTATTTATTTTATAAAATATTGACAATTTCATGTAAAATGTTATACAATTTTTATATTAGCTCAAAGGCATTTGGCACTTTAACAATAGCACCGTAAGGCATACATAGTAAAATCTTAGATTGTATAAAAATGGATAAGAATGACATTATTTATATTTAAAAAATTGAGCTTACATTTTACATTAAGAAATGGTGTACATAGATAAGTTTTTATATGAAAAAATGTATATTTGCTATGCAATTATTGTCAAATATTTAATACAAGATCGATGAACAGCGAGAGATGTTATGCAGTCACTTGGTAGTGTTATATGCTAAAAAGGCTTTAAAAATATTGCAGAGCCTCACCTCAAACTGTTATCGAATTAACAATACATTGTAACCGTTCATAATACTTATTTACTTACAATCATATAAAAATCTTGTCTGTAATTGGCTGTAACTAGACATAATTATACGTATTTTTATTGAAAAATTACTTGAAAATATCTAGTTTCCAGCTTCAAAATCACACAATACAAGACAATACAGTAATTAGCACCGAATAAATTTAAAAATTCTACATACGTTTTCTTAGATGCATTAAATAAAAATTGTTACTAAATTTCAGTACGACTATCCAGTCCTTATACATTCTAAGACAAACGTATTAGACAAACATTGTGCGTTTATATTTTACTATTTTCAGTTTTCAGCTGTCACGTTTTCTAATCAAAAAAGGAGTAGATAATATTTACATTTAAAGGTGAATATTGCGATCGGATTTCGGGCTCATTTGCTTCAGATATTAGAGAAAACAACCAATAATATATCTGGTTTCCAGACCTATAAACATTTTAATATTGTTCTGCTCTTTCTACCCTTTTCTTCTTCGGGGATACTTTCGAGACATTGTCGTATTATGAACCTTCTTTCTCCCACTTCTAAGCAAATGAGTCTAAACCAAAATTACACATGAAAATACATTATTAATAAAGGAAGCGTCTAAAGCGGTGGTAAGAGAAAAACACAATTACAAATTATTTAACGTCAAAATATAAACAGTCGACATCCTACATTAGGGAACGTCCAGTGAATCGAGACTGTCAAGGCCTCGGAATTTTAAACCTTGGAGCGTATAATATAAGGACTAAAATGGTAAGAGCTAAAATAATTTCGTAATGAATGCTCTACCAGTGAGAACTCGAAAGTTGTAACAATTATTCTAGTAATAAAACTCTTTAGTTTGTCTCTTCACGAAATAAATTCAATGAACAGTTCGCCTCCTTGTTGATTACAAAATTTACACTAAGTACATTAAAATAGCGCGTATTTTTACATAAAAGGTTAAAAAAATGCTAAGAAAAAAACTCGATTATGAAAAAACAAAAATACAAAAGCGTCACGTACAAATTGGAGAAGTGTCGGCGAAGGAACAGATTTCGTACCATAACTTCGACGATAGCTCTAAAACATTTCTAAAGATACGAATAGACTACGACACAAATTGTGACATAAACGTCAGACATGTCAGATATCGTGTCACAATACATTTTCCAATTAGACACTGGTGTTCATACAGAGACATTCGATTAATACATTGAGGGCCAAGCACGAATAACTATCGCATTCGTATCGTAACAGTATCGAGCGAGTTAAGCGTTCTGATTGGTTGGTTCACTTGTGCCGGCCAATCAGCGCCGAACGCGCTCGATACTATTACGTTACGAATGCGATAGTTATTCCTGCTTGGTACTATGATTGCAAAGTATATAGCGTCGTAGTTTACTCGTACCTTAAAGGTACGGTACAAAACCATCTCCATCGTGTTACACAAATATTCATTTAGGTCAAATACAAGCATATTTCATACAAATTCATACATTGCTTTGTCATGATACTAAAACGAACATCTAAGTTACGCCATCATAAATTACATAAGAAAAATAATCGTCGTAATAATACTATTTAAAATTTAAACTATAATACTAACTGTCAAGGTGACAGCGCGACTTACTGTCAATTGTCAAATTTCATAACTGACATGACTAGCTGCCAAGGACCATATAAAATGTTCCAATGATATGAAATTAATACTTTATATTGTGTTAATTGAAAAAATCGCGTCGCTTAATTGACGATCGTATTTAATACAAGTTTATTTTGTGAGGAAAGAAATACTAATTCGAATGACGCGCTGGTGTGTTAAAATCCAAGATGGCGTCCCGTTTTGGCGCCGAAAAAATCTTACAATTCAAATGATAGGTGTATTAAAACAGCAAACTTATTAACTAGAATAGAATAATAGTAGAAAATAATTATTAATAATGCGTTGAGCCAGCAATTTGTTTAGAAGCGTTGCGCCTTAAGTTAGGTATTTGAAAATATTAAAGATATACAAAAGCACCAAGTTACTGGACTCTTAAGCCTACCTTATAAAATCGAAATTAGACTTTTGAAATCATGTACAAACCGGACTCCTGACCTAACTTCTTGGTAATACGGTCGATTTTTCGTTGTATAACATAAATTCAATTAAAATTTCAACATTTTCTTCTTAACATTGGTTGTAACTGATTTCAAAAACCCAATATTAATTTAAAGCCTTATCCACACGGGTTTTCATATTATTGACAGTTCATAAAATAGTTAAATATATGATAGCTTTATGAGAAACGTGTGAACTAGGATTAGTTTCACGTTTAGTGAATATGTAAACAAATACTTGGATGCAATGAACTTTGAAAGATAAATCCAGAAAATATTTAAAGATAATACAGAGATACCCTTAGTTTCTGATGTTGACACTGATTTACTTTTCCAAAACTTTAAAAGTCGGTCAACATTGATGTCAAATTGGCGACTCCCAAATATAATGTATCTACGGAGCCGCAGAAGGCCTAACGAGTTGCCGGGGCTCCGGCTCGAAAAGCAGGAGTGGGAACGGGGTGGTTTTTAGTCAGTAAGAGTCTGACTCTCCCTCTCGCCTAACACGAGGCGGGAGAAGTCATTGAATGAATTACTCCCTCAAAAAAAAAATGTATCTGTTTACATATTCAAAAAACATGTAAAAAATAAATAGAATTAGCTTATTACTACCAGCGACGCTCGTGCCTATTAAAAACTATAAAATTGATTTGTTCCTACTATAATATTTTAAAACAGTTATATACCATTTATTTATAAAGATACTTTAAATATTTAAGTGATGAAATCCATTTTAAAACATGCTTTAAGATAGCCAGACAAAAGTTAATTTTAGAACAAGGATGTGAAAGTCTTTAAGGATCATTTTTGAATATCAAAATGTAAGCTTCGTTTACATACTGAACTGAAAAATTTATAAGATTTTTTACTAGTAGACATACTTGGTCCTAAAATACGAACTAAGTGATATATGAGTTAATCGATTATTGCTTCAGCTAATAGACTAAGTCTACATAAACTCATACCCCTCCTTTGCATTACAGTCGGGTAAAAGAAAAGGCTATCATACTACAAGTCGAGAGCTCGCAAAAATATACACCACCGGTTCAATAGCATATAAAAATGACTTGTGACGTTATTACATATAAATGAGTTAAGGCACATAATTTTAATCCGCGTTTTTATCACTTCACTATACTTACTATTTACAAAATTATTTATTTATTTATGAATAAATAGTTTTGAAGCGCACTGGCGAATTGAAACACTAGTCTTCTCAGGTCTTACAAAGAATAACAACCTTTCGATCGTGATCTCTTTTAAGACGCCTCAAATATCAGACAAAATTCAACCTTAAATACAGGTACACCATTTCAGCACGCCAGTGTACTTCTTATTTTAAATAATGAAACCTCAAAACATTTTTCGTATACTCTTAGCTAAGCTCCTAATAATATTATAGTTATTGTCAATTAAAAAAATGTAGTGACTTTTCATTATTTCATTTGAAACGTCGATATAAATTCTAAACTGTCCAACTACTCAGAAAACAGACAATAATCTGTGGTAACAGATTAAAAATTCATATCGACTGTTCTCAACATTGTGTTTTTAATCTAGCAGTTTTTGTGAAACAAGAAAAAAGATAGAAAAGGTATAAAAAGATCACATTACAGTTGTCAAAATCGATCATAAAATTGATTACTACTGCATTCTAAAATAGACCGTAACATATTGTTAGAATGTCATATAAAATTCCCTTTATTTATTAACAGCATTTAGGGTTAAGGTCGCTTGCAACCGGCCAATCTGAAAGTCAGCCTATGTTCAGTAGCAGACGTGTTGTGGCTGATAAGATGATGACGATGTTCACATTTTCTTCTAAATTTCCCTTTGATATGATGATAATCACTTTTTGGCTTAAAATTTCCCTTGCTTTATGGTAAAATACGTAGTTCTTCGGTCTACCAGATTAAAGAACACAAGTTGTGCACAAGGATGGGTGTGCGTTCAGACCTCGTCAGGTGCCATGGCGTCGTCCTCGTGGTTGTGTGTCTCCGTGGCGGCGGCCGGGGGCTGCGGCGAGGGCGCGGCGGCCGGGGGCGGCGCCGCCTTCACTGTCGCCTCTAGGGCTCGGATCCTGTTCTCTTGCTTTACAATCACGGATTTCAGCTTACGAATCTCGTCGACGAGATCTGATAGTTGTTTCTCCTGTTGTGTAATGAAGAATGTGTTAGGCTCACAGATTTATTACTAAAACTATGATACGAGTTACATATTTTTGTAGATCTTTGATAGTTAATTTGCTAATAAAAAAGGGCATGATGTTTTTGTAGTTTTTAGAATGACAATATTGACATTCAATCAGTTAATACATACATTCTGAATTTATAATTTTAAAGTTTTTGTTACAGACTTGTAATAACGACCGACAATAAGCGTATGGAACTTCAAATTCAAATAAATTATAATAGCATGTTTACAAAGTACCTAAAAAACGTAAACAAAAACATACCACAGCAGCGTTAATAGCAGGCGGTGGCGTAGCAGACGCGGGAGTACCAGCGTGAGAGTCGTCCCTCTTAGTGGCGGGAGTGGGGGAGCGGTCCTTGTCCTTGTCCCTCTCCTTGGCGCCGGCGAGGGCGTTGGCCTTCTTGGTGACGGTGAGCTGGGGGGCGGAGCGCCCGGCCACGTAGCCTCCCTGTACAACCAACGCACGCTCCTGGAGTGGGGTCGGGGAGCCCTACCTCGTAACATCTGTCCTCGACTGTACTATTGGCTGGCTCGGTACCGGTGGTGGTCCGTTGTGTGTCGTTCTTATATTTAAGGGGAGCTTAATGTGTTGTAAAATTTAAGGTTTAAGGGACTTCAAGGTAAAAAATGTCATAAAATATTTGTGTTTCATCAAGTCACTTGAAATTACATGTCTAATTACTGGTTTTATGATAAAATATGTTAATCTACAATTCCTTTTATACTACAATCAAATTTATTTAGCAACAAATATTATGGGGCCCCTGATGAAGTCCATATGCAACACCAGTTACCCAAACTGCGTTGCTATTATGACCCTTCAAAATACTTTATTTGTGTAAGATTCCATAAAATAGATGGAAACATTTGACTGAAATCAATATATTGCATATCTTAGATAAATCATTTTTTGAAACGTTAAATTCTTTTTAGCAGCTAATTAGATTTTTAGTTAAAGAAAATTATTGTCGTTAAGCTCAATTTTACAAGCCCTATTTAGTTTTATTTAACTGTAATATTATATTATTATTGGCCCTCAATGGTCTTGTTAGGATAAGCTTTATGGTTTTTCATGGTCTTTAACAAATGGCAAAGCAAATAATTACCTCATGATTGCTAATTAGTATTTTGAAGGAATTTTAAAAGACAAATGTTATGTCAGTTACGTATTTTGCAGATAGCTTGATGTAACACAATTAAATTATTATTTCAGACCTCGTCAGGTGCCGTAGCGTCGTCCTCGTGGTTGTGTGTGTCCGTGGGATTTTGGGATTTAAGATTAAATTTTTATATTACTAATACCTTGGCAATTTGTCAGTCAGTCAGTCAGTCAGTCAGTACACTCAATTATTTCTTAGCCGCCAATCTCAATAACCTTACATACCTGTAGATTTCTTTACTAAAGACAGAATTTTGATACATTTTACATGGGACTAATGTCCAGTGAATAAAATCTAACAACTAAATATGATTGAAACTGCGTAAGACAATTCATACTAAACTACTGCATATAAAGCCAAGAATACACTAGGGGACAAATGTCCCAAGACATGTATCGGCGACATGTCGAGCGAAGTTGGCCGATGTCGCCCGACTTAAACGGTGACAACGCGTAACTTATGTCCACAGTGACGTTGATGTTGCCAGACATGTCGACCAAAGTTTGTACTTCTCTGTGTATTGATTTTCTTTTATTATACAAGGTGTTGTTTTAAAACCGCGTCATTTTCTAGGAGGTAACTCGGATAAAGATTCTGAGTCCGAATCAATAAAAAAAAATTGAAGGTATATATTTTTCATTTTTCTGTAAATTACGGAAATCCGGAAGTGCGAACTACACGCCATCGTCTTGTAACTAGCTTTATAACGCGGCTCAACACACACAAACTCAAACAGGTAATTGATATTATTCCTAATTCCATAAAACTCCAATAATAAACATTGCTGTCGCTTATTCTGTAATACTGTCGAACTTAAACGATTTATTATAGCCGTATTTTTAACTATTGGCCCGAGTTTTTCTCTTACATTGAACCTTTATGACTTCTGTGACATGCCCCCGAGATATGTCACGGTTTCAAAACTACACCTTGTATAAAATGTGTAGTTATAATTAGCACAACGATACATTTGTATGAGGAAGAGCGAGGTTTATACCAACACAAGTACCCTCGGATTACTTTTTGGGAAGCCCCAGCAACTTAATTGTACAAATTTTGGTCAATAAACACATTTTATTTATTTATTTAAGTCCGGCAACGTCGCGCTACTTCACTCGACGTCGCTGGCAACACGTGTGGCAATACATCTGTCACCTAGTGTATTATTCGCTTTAATACCAATAAAACATACGTATTTACTTCAAAAACATAAAAGAAAGACAAAAATATAGAAATCTTATGAAAGTCAACTAACAAACAACACGTAATAAGGTTAGTAAGAACAACAAAAAGTCACTCGAATTATATAGTCGTAGTTAAGAAGACAACACACAACAGACAGTAACACATTGTAATATAGTTAGAGCAAGCCAACAGTACATTCAGGACGACAGTGGTGTCGGTAGGGACCGTGCTTTTAGTAATACTTACACATATAGTTCAACACACAGACAATGGTTGATAACAGAATAAATGTAGTCTTAAAGGTGTTAATATTTTGCTCAGTCTCGTGTATCAAACCCAAGACCGAATAGTTTAAGTTGTATTCATGATCCATTTGTTTAAAAAGATGAATAAATTATTATGTTTTCGGCTTACTCACATAACTATTTGACGAGAAACTCGACTGGTTTCAAGCCATGCTAGATCCATTAGCTGAGCTGCTACACTGTAGTAGCGCGACAGTCGCCCCGTAGCGGGTCGCGGAATGCTGCTCATGAATATGAGCCTCTGTCATGGCTTGAAACTAGTCGAGTTCCTCGTCAAACAGTTACGTCAGTAAGCCGAAAACATAATAATTAATTTAGTACGTCTCACAAACTTAATTTAAAAGATGAATATCCTAGAATAATGCTTCGAAGAAGTAACAAGGTTTTATTTCACAAAGCTTGATTAGACGTTACCCAAATTAATTAAAATGACGAATGACCCAAAGGAGATTTGAACCGCGAAATTAAAATATAGTAAGGCCACGGATTCGAGTCCCAGTTATGTTATATTTTCTTTCGAAATGTATTAATAATTTTACAGTAGACATGTAACCCAATTAATGTCAGAATCTGCAAAGATTACATGGCGTATGAAAGTCTTATAGTATTGTAAGTTGCAAAGTTATTATGAAAAGCTTACTTACCTGCGAAGACCACTATTGATAAACACCACAAATCTCATATTCCACACAATCTCACACAAGGCATGCCTATATATATGGTGACGACAAGAGAACATGTGCTCAAATGAGAGCAGGTTTTCGCCTGTTCTTGTAATCCCTTTTCATGACTTCGTTCTTCTAGTTTGAGTTCGAAGATCGAAAATAATCTAGCTTCGAAAGTATTTATATCACATTTGGTGATATGACAGACATTCTTCTTGTTTGGAATATAAGACACGAAGTTTGGAATATAATATAGCTACTATTGAAATCTTCGTTACCGATAAATTTAACTCTATGCTCAAATTAATTCTGTACTTTATTATTGTATCTATACATGTCTGATTTCAAGCTTTTCTTTAACGAATTAAACCGGCTATTTAACGAACTTTTTGTTGAAAAATGAACTCTACCCCCCTACTCTACTCTACACAGTCGTATCTCGTCATACAGTGCCACCTATATGGTACCTTCAGCGACATGGTGCATGGCTCCGCATCCTCCCCGGCGAGCCACTCGTCGGCGGTGAGACTGGCCTCGTCACTCAGGGTGTCCGGGTACAGGTCCTCTTGGAACAACTCCGACTTGCGAGGCACGGTCATTGATACCACCTGCAGAAGGATATGAAATTAATGATGTTAATATTTGTAAACAGGTCACAAAACAGCACTTCTACACGTTAATCAATGCTAATATCTATGATTAGCAAGACTGTACGTCTGTTCAAGAAGAACTGCTGGACTGTTGTGGGTATATAAAGTACTAGCGACCCGGCCCGGCTTCGCACGGGTGCAGTATGCATATATTAGACATATACCCCTTGCTTAAGAATCACTCTATCTATTAAAAAAATCCGCATCAAAATCCGTTGCGTAGTTTTAAAGATCTAAGCATACATACGGACAGACAGATGGCGGATAGCGACTTTGTTTTATACTATGTAGTGATTATTGGAGGTCCATAGTCCATAAGATGTTTAAAAGAAAAATCATAGTTCATCTGTATATGTACTATCCTATATGTACTGGACTCGTTTGTATCTAAATGGTGGTGTGTTTCATAAATAAATCATTTAATATCACTCCAATTTACGCCGTAAAATGAAAAATAATGGTCTTTCCAATGTACCTGACAGAGTCCCGAGTTGTTAAGCCTGTAGAACTTGGCGATCTCACACGTCGCCACGTCGCATCCTCGCTTCGGCATCATGCCGATGCCTGGGAACAATAAAGGGATAAATAAATTTATGTCATTTATTTAACGTCACCGTTATCGTTGTTACCGCTGTAATATATTATATACAGGCTAAAGAAAAAACAGATACTAACAATGATATGGAAACATTTCATTTTTTTTATTTCCGTAATCAAATGTACAAGTCTCACCTCTTTGCGGGTCTGGAGTCTGGAAGGTGTTGATGTAGTGGACGAATGGCGGCTCTGGCGTCACCTGAAAGATTATGGTTCTCCTTAAGCATCTTATCTGCTTTATCCCCAAGCGGTCACCGGCGAGAGCTCTCCACTAACTCCATTATAGACCTTATTTCCGATGTTTAGAGACTACTTTTGTTTAAACAAGTTTTTGGTACGATATACCTAACTGTTGAATTCATTAAAATTCCTATATGAAGGCAATTGGATATGGTCCCATAGGTTACGTCAAAGTGATTTTAACATATTATATTGGTTGTTTTCCAGTTTGTATAAGTTACTATCACAGTTTAAATTATCAGTATACTACTAATACTACATGTAGAAAAGATAAAATAAATATTTCGTACTGACCTCGAAGTACCGTATGACCGAGTCCCCCTTCCCGCAGAGGTAGATGAGGTTGGTGTCGGGGTCGTAGAGCGGGAACATGACTCCGTTGGAGGTGTCGATCTCCACGGTGACGATGGGCTCGCCCAGCGCGTCCGGCGTGCGCAGCGAGTACTGGCGCTCAGACATTCGGCTGAACCTGGAACGTAACATATAGCGTGCTGTATTTGAAAACTTCTAAGTACGTTTTCTTAGGTTTAAGGCTTATATAGTTTAAACTGTCAAACACCGCGCGGACACCGTTGACTGCAACCTATTATTCTTTAATTGTGTCTATAATGACGGTACTCAACGAGTTAATATGGGGAACGCTAATGTTCAGCAATGAACGTCCTGTGGCTGGTATGATGGTTATTTATTGAATAATGGTTGAAAGACATATTGAAGTCCAAGTCTTTTGGTGATATAATGTCAACGCATAACCCATGCTTTGTATTATGACGTGATAGTGACAAGATTAAGTACTAAAATTGCGAATCGCCGCGAGAAAAGCAACAGCATTTCATAATAATAACCTAACTACGATCCCCAAGCCGTCAACGTGGGGATTATGGCCGACCCTCAAGAGAGAAACGTTTAGCCAATGTTATAATGTTGATTTATGACGATATTATAACAACTAGAATAAAAATAACTGTGAGATGCGCTTGTGGAGGTCCGGCTTCAAAGCCTCGAACACGAGCGTAAGGTTGCAAGCCTTTCAATCTTCTACCGGATTCATTTCGGAGAGTATGCGGGGGAATTGCACAACTTGATTCCCCCTAGTCCTTTCCATCATCGTACCACAAGACAATCGGCGAAGCGACACCGATTCATGGTAGATGTACCACACGCACGAAGCGCTTCGCACCAAGCTTCCTTGTGCGTACTGCTAAGGAGACGAATTCTTTGCCAGAGTCTGTATTTCCTGAAGGGTATAACCTGGGAGTCTTTAAGGCCCGAGTGAATAGGTTGCTATGGGTCGACGTGCTCCATCGTAGACCACACCATCGCTTACCACCAGGCGAGATAGTGGTCAAACGTCAGTCCCATGTAATATAAAAAAAAACTGTTGAAAGAATACATACCCAGTGGTGAATACGAGTCCATGTTTGAGGAAGATAGCGCGCGATGCCTTGCTGCCCTCGTGAGCTATCGCCTCCGACTCCACCTCGCCTTTACGGGGGTCGATTATCCTGAAGGAGAAACACAATACGTTTTATAGTAGAATAGTTTAAGGGGGGAAAATCATCGAATGACTGCTCCCGCCTGGGTGAGTCGGGAGGGAGTGTCAGACTCTTACTAAAAACCACACCGTTCCTTCTCTTGCACGTCGAGCCCCGGTAACCCGTTGGGTTCTCCGCGACAGAATAGTTTCGTATGTAACGTCAAGTTTCATGTCCTTAGACCATTTTTTGTTGAAGATAACTTCTGCATCAATAATGAGGGTACCTGATTTTCTTGTCGCGGCAGGTGGTGAGCAGTTTGGATCCGGTCCAGTTCCAGCATGCGGAGTAGATGAGGTCTGGGTGACAGTCCAGCGTCAGTAGCACCTCGCCCGTGCCCACGTTCCATATCGCTATCTGGAAACGGTACATATCGGGAGTAAGTAAAAGTTTCCTTTTCTTGGTCTTTTTCAAACTAGTCAAAGTCAAAGATCTTTATTGTGAGACAGTGGTTACAAAGGTTGTTCTAAAGGTGATTGTGTTCATGCACTGCTCCACCATGTTAGACATACAATAGTTTGTGACAAACGTATAAATTGCAGTAGCTGTACATTATAATATTAAATGCTGATTGAATAAAGAAACTAGTAGAGTCTACTGATCGACATTCAATCTAAAATTATGTATTCATTTTCGAGGAGCACTAAGAAGAGTTGAAAATGGCTTGTACTGCTCCAAAAAAGGGTGATACGCACGTGCCCCTTTTTCTACTTAGCTTCACGACTGTGCTTCTAGTTTTCATTTTCTTCCCAAAACTTCACTTCTGTAATCAAATTTGATGTTCCATTTTGTGTTTGATTAGAAGCACGTTAGTCTCCTCACCTGGTTGTCGGAGCCCGCAGTGAGCAGTACGTTCTGCGCCGTGGGATGCCACAGCACGAGTCCGACGCGGCGCTGGTGGAACACGAGGTCCACGACGGGCTCCGTCAGCGTGCGCGACAGCCCGCCGTCCGGGATCTGCCACACCTACGCACGGAACTACGTCACTCACAGATCTTTATAGAATGGAAAGGATAAACGAGCAAATGTACTAACTGAAGGTATGTGTGCGTAGACTAAGAACATCCACGATACTAATACTTACAAGCTTTCTGGAAGGGGCAGATTGAGCTAACTAACATTTACATTTTTTTACGGAATAGGGCAGCAAACGAGCATGTGCATCACCTAATGTTAAGCAATCGGTGACACTCATGTACATCCGAAGCACCAGATGAGGTACAAGTGTATTGCCAGCCATTTAGGGATCAATAATTTGGGGATTGGCGATTGGGGTTGGCGACTTGGCGATTGGGAGTGTGCCTCCGGTAACTTCATTCACATAACGGAAGATAACACAAGCTTTGTTTCACACTTCATATCTCGTTACCTTAACAACGCAATCTTCAGACCCGCTGGCGATGACATTGTCGTTGTGTGGGCACCACGCGATGTCGAGCACGGGGCCCTTGTGCCCGCCCACTAGTGGGTGGTCCGCCGGTATACGCCCGACCTGGAATATTTATGTTGAAAATTAATAACGTGGATATGGACAATAGGTTTAGGTATTATGAGTTTTTAGTTTTGGCTTAGAGTTACCAGACCAAATAACCCTTAGACTGTCTTTAACTTATTAGGTATCTAGTCTAGATTATATTTTTTTTAAATAAGTTACATATTTTAACCGCAAAGTATCAAGGGCAAGTTCTAAATAAACATGAACATACATATGTTCGTACGACTAACTTACTGAAACTGAATAGCTTCATGCGGATAGATATTACAACAAAAGACAGTATAAAATTTAATTAAGAACCGAAATATCTTGTGCGAAATTCCTAATTTCACTTCAAAACCTAACACAATGTGAAAGTATCAACCATAAAAGAATACACAATTTAATTATCTGTAAAACTTGCGCGCCAATTATTTCGCGTTGTCTCTGAAAATTATGGGCGCGAAAACTTTCACATGCACCTAACGACCTAGTGAAAGTCGGCCATCTTGTTTACGAAAACAGATAATTAAACATTTTTGGCGCCACGACTAAAACATAAATCGCTAATGTGGGTCGCAACACAGACGACACACGAAACTTAGTAATAGAAATAAATTGTATTAAATTAATATGTGGTTACTGCTTACATGTGTTAAATTAATTTATTTTACTGTATTTACTATAATCATGTTATAAATTTGTTTTCATTTACGAGTACAGATCGTTATGTACTTAAGCATGTCGTTTAACTGTAAATCTTAAACGTAATCACATAAGCAAACAGTATTGTATTTACGAGCATGATAAATAATACTGCGTAGGTATCTAATTCTATACTATACTCATATTAGTTGAAGAGATTGTTTGCTTTAAACGCCCTAATCTCCGAAACTATTATTTCGAATTTGATAATTCTAAGCAGTTTTTGGTATAGGATTAAGGATGGCCCATATAATTCTAAACTATTCGTAATCTAATCCTAATAGGCTCTAATTCATGACTTCTGGACAAATTCCGGTCAATGTAATTCGTAGCTTGATGTGTCTATGTTTAATTTAAAATGTGTCAAAAACAGAGGTTGTGAATAGGCCTTTCAGGGTTGTGGCAAATCCATACAGGTTTAAGGTTTAGGTTTATGTATGTGTGTAATCAGTGCTAAATTCATTTTGGCATTCATTCAGGATGAGACCGCAAGTTTCGTATACTGGTCACGGTCCTCTGTCAAATATATCATGCCCATATTTTCCTGAATCCACGAGAAATTATGTCCCTACATAAATATTAATATTAAGACGTCGCCAAATTGCTGGAAACCCAAGTTTTCTGACAAGTTTGTTTGAATAGGCATCCCTGACGAGGCTGACAACATTGTTGATGACCAAAATAAAAATATAGGTTACAAAAATTAAAATAATTTAGGTTACTTGTTTCTTAAAGCATGAGTGAAATCGTCAGTGATAAATGTTACAGAAATGTACAATCGATTGAATTTGTGGAAAAGCTAACTTATAATTTTATATTTTCCCGCCAAATTGCTTTCCGCAGTGTTGCTATGGCCTCATTTCCATTTCCTTAAATTAGGGATTCACCCATAAACAATATCGTCACAATATTTTTTTATCGCAGAGTGCGTTATCAGAAATATTGCAGATTATGCAGATTGATTGTATTAGTTACTTATCGCGCGTAACACCGGGGCGTGAAATCGGATATTATCGTAATTTCCAGTTCATATAGGTCTTACAGTCTTAATTATGAATTCGTATATATTTGTGCATAGCCTTAAATTTTTGTGCTTAAGGATGTTTGTAGTTATTACACATTTTATGAACCGAAAATATTGGAGGTATGTATGAGAAATAATGAAATGTGAGAACCAAATGATAATAAAGTAGGAAAAATAGGTAAGTTCAGAAGAGATCTTCCTCATAACACAGAGATAAATTAATGAGCTGATAAAGGTTAATTGAAGCCAATTGTGTTACGATACTTAAATGGCTATCCTACACAACTTTATCCGCCTTAGTTAGACGATCCCCTTAGGACGACGGACTTTTAGAATCTATTCCAGGTCCCAGTAGAACATAAATCGAACTATACTCGCTCGAATATACGCCAGCCACTCATCCTCAAGTTTCATTTAGGATACCGGATTACATCATACACCGTAACATTTGATCAAATGTTTGTCCGAATATTTATGCGTTTCGCCGTGTTCCGTGTAGATGGCAGGACGCCAAACGGCCATTATTATTACAGTGCGAATTCCCAAAGTGTTCCGGACTACCACTGTGTCACACATACTGCTCGCTAATGGTACTGAATGACCGTTTGGCACATAGAGCTGATAATTATTCAGAACCATGTCAATTTCTTGTCGTTTTGATGCTCGTTGTGAGGTTAAAATTTGAGTGTCAACACTTTGTAAGAAGTTTGCAGTTTGCAATGGATTTGGTGTTAATCGAATACCAATTCTTTTACTTTTCCCTTTGCGCATGCAGAGTTGGACAGCATACCAAGAAAACTATTACAGTCCTTTCATATGTAAGGTATAGGCCAACTGAATATCGGTTCACGATTCTCGGATATCTAAAGCGTCCTCCTACTGCAATGGGACCATGAATATCCATTATTTCCTTTGTCCACACTAGAAAGTCGCCCGTTCTATTTTGGCAACCAACAAAGCAAAGATATCCGATCTTATTTCGTCTGGAGTTTAGGTCACAGTCTTTAGAATGTAGTTTCAGGTTACAGCAGTCGCTCCCATAAACGGACAACAATAACAGTTTCTTTCTCAAATGTCGCAGTATTTCGATCCGAAGAATGCGTCCTAATAATAAATCATGGTGCTAAACAATCAAACGGTTGATTTATCTTCATTGGAAGCGTACACAGGTGTGATTGAGTCGTGTCATTGCATTTCTGTTTAAACATGTGGGTTTGTCATACTGACGGCTGACTTATGTTCATCTTTTATCTATGTCTGCTAAAGGGCAGAGGAAATCGGGAATGAATCAGCTTTTCCTAGTATTGTAGTGTTTGATTGGGATTTTAGTACACAATATTATTCTTTTCTTAAATAGAAGTTTTGAGTTTTGTATAACGCGCAATGGCAGTTTTTGCACCGGTAAGCGCTGCCCTTTTGACCTCAGTGTCGTTTTTAGTGGGCAAAAAAACACAATTAGATTATTTATTTGCGTACGAGTTCTTTTCTCTATCCCTACTGCGTAGCCAGATAAATAGGACACCTGGACACTATTAGCATCAGATGCGAAGGCAATAAAATATGAAACTAATGCCCACTAATACCTGTGCATCAAAATTTTGCTAGCCGTGTTACAGTCGGAGCATTGCACACGTCGCTACGCTTTTCTCGGCGTGCGTAGGCGGGCCCTCGATTTCCGTCTGCCGAATTATTACCCAATACAAACATTCATAAATAGATTCCCTAAATAATAACAGCTAATTATAGAACGTTTGAACATTGTTTTGTAGATGTATTGAGTACGTGCAACATGTGCTATTCTTTTGATTTATCAAGGGCGTTACAGTTCTGTTCTGTTGTTTTGTTACCATGCTGTTTTATAGCATTTTTTTGGTTACAACTGACATTAATGTTCAGTGTTACAAGTGTTAATTCGTTTTAGGGATCATGGTTGGTTTTAACGTTTCAAGGCATTTCCGTCATAAAATCATGTGCCTTAACTCGTCGAAGTAGGAATGGTAGGAGACCATTTGTGGACAATTAGTATGTGTAGAAACCTGGAACTCTTATTCCGTCCCTGGACTCCGGAGCTCAGAAACTGGACTATTGGCTGAGCAATCACGCTAATTGGAGTTATCAAATCAATGGAGTAGGTAGACATTTTATAAAAGAGGTCTCTTTTATCGAGTGACAAAATCAGCCCAGAAAGTTCTACCGAAAAATCTCTTTTTACTTTTACATTCGGGAAAATCCACTACAAAATTCTTTCATTAATATACTTGTCGGTTTGTCACAATAATCCAGTCGAAACAATCGTCTCACGTTCGTGTATCAATTTCTACCGTAAAGTTGGAGTTGGTCAATCCAAGACCAACATTGGCCATAAACTGGTGTATCAGATAGTCTTACTAATAATAGAATATAGTACAATGTTTGTAATACCTAAATATAGGACCGGATAGTCATAAACAGTTGTTTGATAGCCAAAAATCATTCACATTAGTCATATAATCAATACTTCTTCTATGGGCTGGGGTACGCATTGATTTGTACGTGCGAATACATCTGAATCATCTTTGTCGGCGAATATATTTGTGTCCATTCTGTTGGCATGTATATTGATTAATGCAAGATTGAAAGTTTTGCACGCCAATGTATGTACGTATGCTCTTTTGTCTTGTGAGTGGAATAGAATATGAGCATGGAAACAGTACTAACTATGTGAAACGAGGCATAAATAAGACTTTAAATAGGATCACTTAATAACTACTGGAAGTTAGAAATAGATTTAAAACGAAATGATGAATGCTCTAGCAGATTCAACCAGTGTCATAGTTTCATGTAATCAAACTAAACCAAATTTTGGCACACAACAAAAACATTGAATACGACCAATTCAAACCCATTTATGAACTGTTTCCGTTACAATTTTACTGCATTCCTATTAAAAGATAATAGTTATCTCATCCGTTCGTACTATCGTTTATTTCCGTCAGCTATCTCTTACAACTACATCATGACACATGTAGCAAAGCAACTAAGCAATGTTAGGTTGAACACCAGCCATTAAAGGACGGAACAGTTAATCAGAAAGCCGTCTGTCATGTCCAGACTTGACCTTGTGAGGAATGACCTAATGCACGGGAATAGTCTAGATTGGGAATGAAGATCATACACATAATATAACTAGGCTCGTATCTAAGCCTAGAAAAGTTAGCAAGATTAGGATGGTAGAGGTCTTCATTATGCAAAGTTGGTATTAGCAAAAATGTCCTGAAGAAAAACGGCGATTTCAACGAAAATGAATGTG